GTGGGGCCTGGTGGGCTGGATGCTGCCTGTTGAAGCAATGCCTCCCCTCCTCAACCTGGGGAGTCCCTGGGGAACCATGCCATTTACAGGTGAACTGACTCTCTTGGGCCTGCCCAGGCAGAGTCCCTGTGAAGGTCACTGCCTTTATTTCGGTTTTTTGGGGAGCCCTGGTCCCTCTAGAGTTGCTAACTTGGAGAAGTGCCCAAGGGGATACCATGGAACAGTTCAAGGCTTGGAAGGAAGCAGAGGCCCGTGTGTGCTGTGGGGTGGCTGAGCCTTCCAGCCGCACCAGGTGGCCTCAGGTCCATCAGGTTTAATCCAAGGACAGCCCTGCTCAGCACAGTCACCAGTACCATCCCATTTATTACCTGAGAAACGAAGCTCAGGGAGGCCCAGTGGCTCACCCACTACCAGATGCCTCATACATGGCAGGAAGGAATTCAGAGCTTAGTGGGTCTGACTCAGCCCCTGTTCTAAATCAGCCTTTGGAAAAGAAAGTAGAGATGGGAGGGAGGGGTGGCCACAGTATCTCCAAGGCTAGAAGGGAATGAGGAATGAATGTGGGTGATTGAAGGAAGGGCTCATCCTCTTTGTCTTCCTCTGGCTTAGAGGAAAGATATGGAGCCAAAGCAGGAGAGACTCAGGTGAAATGTTAGAACTGCCCATGACATGTGGCCTGAGAGCCCAGCAAAAAGTTGCAGGCTGTTTTCTCTGTGGCCTGACTTTCCTGCTGATGTGCAGAATTGTTGAGGCCAGTAGGAATATAATATGAGCCACGTATGTAATTTAAAGTTTTCAAGAAGCTGCATTATAAAATTATTTAAACACGTGAAATTAATTTTAATTATATATTCTGGCCCAGTGCCGTGGCTCACACATGTAATCCCAGCACTTTGGGAGGCTAAGGCAGGTTGATCACTTTAAGTCAGGAGTTTGAAATCAACCTGGCCAACGTGATGAAGCCTCATCTCTACTAAAAATACAAAAATTAGCAGGGCATGATGGTGCATGCCTGTAGTCCCAGCTACTTGGGAAGGCTGAGACAGGAGAGTTGCTTGAACCGGGAGGTGGAACTGAGCTGAGATCTCACCACTGCACTCCAATTGGATGACAGAGTGAGACTCCAGCTTAAAAAAAAAATTCTAGAAGCTGCATTATAAAATTATTTAAACAAGTGAAATTAATTTTAATCATATATTCTGATCGGGCACGGTAGCTCACGCCTATAATCCCAGCTTCTCTGGAGGCTGAGGCAGGAGCATCACTTGAACTGGGGAGGCGGAGGTTGCAGTGAGCCAAGATGGTGCCACTGCACTCCGGTCTGGGTGATGGGCGCAACCCTGTCTCAAAAATAATCATAATCATCATAATCATATATTCCCTTTAATCCAACATATGCAAACTATTTTGACATGTAGCTAATTTAAACTACTAGTGATATTTTCTCAGTTTGTTTTTTCGAATGCTGAGTCTGTGAAGTCCAGGTGTATTTTACACTTAGAGCACATCTCAATTCAGACATTCAGTCTTTTTTGGAAGTACTAGATCTGTATTTGGAATTTGGATGATTTATAGTAGAAAAAGGGGATTTGAAGCATGGTCTGCCTGAGTCCAGCCCCTGTTCTTCTAGAACGCAAGTTGTTCCAGACATACCTGGAAGAGTTTCCAAGAACTGAATTAATCCTCCTTGGTGACATGAGCCATACTGAAAGCGCTTGGTGGCTACCTGGGGCTCATGGCCACCATTCCGTGCAGCCTGGGGCGTGGGGCCTGTTCCTGGCCAGGCCAGCAGGCTCCTGTGGGGCATTTCTGCCAGAGTCCTCCAAATTCCAGAGGCTGTTCCCTGAGCTGCCTCTGCTGCTGGGAAAGTGCTGCTGTCCCAGGGGGCCGCTCTGGCTGTGGATCCTGAGGCCCCAGCAACCTGGGGCTGGCTGAGGTCTGGTGGGGCCCCTGGGGGAGCTTGTCCTTCACATCCTATCCGGTAGTCTACTCCCCTTTTCCTGGGAAATGTTTACATTCCAGACACTCAGCTATCTCTACCCAGGGCTTCTCCAGGCTCTGCATTTTTCACATAGCTGAACAGGGACCTGGGCTGGCCTGGGGGCCGCTGCTGGGCCCCATCTGTCTCCCCCTGGCTATCCCATTCAGGTATGACCATTTGCAGGGCAGATGTGTTCCTGGCAAAGAGCCAGGCCTGAGGCACCCCCCCCAACCTTTTTATCCCCAGGTGTACCCCCAAATAGACACTTGGAGCTCTCCTCCCTGTCTGATCTCAGCATGGGATTCCTTGTGAGAGCCATCAGACTAGACTAACATGGGGGAGGCAGGTAGCAATTGGATTCACTAAGCTATCATTGCCAGATCTCACCAGGGACTTCTCCCAATCTGCTGCTTTGAGGTTGCAGGGCTGCAAAGTAGGAGAGCCCAGGGCCTAAGGAGGCTGCCTCATTGCTGGGGCCTTTTTCTGCAGGGCAGAGTCTCTGTGGTTGTTTTTTGTTTTAAGTCTTTAAAGCAACCAGTTGACATGGCATTGCTCTGTGCTGTTCTCACCCAGCTCTGCAGAGCCGGTATCCCCTGCAGTGGGAGGTGGGGGTCAGATTGGGATAACTGATTAAGTAACTGAACCAAAAACCTTCTTGAAGATGGTTTGTCACTCTAAATTTGTAGCGTTTACGTTCATACCTTTCTTAACCCACAATTCTATCCCTGGGACATCTGCCCCAGGAAATACTCAAGTGTTGTAGACAAAGATAGGAGTCCAAGAATGCCATCAACATGGTTGTCAGTTGCAAACCCTCTAGCAACCAAGTAAATGCTCAAACAATGAAGCCCTGGTGAGTTAGGGCACCTCCAGGTAAAGAACATTCTTTTGCTGTTTTTAAAGTTATTTTATTTATTTATTTATTTTGAGGCGGAGTTTCGCTCTTGTTACCCAGACTGGAGTGCAATGGCATGATCTCGGCTCACCGCAACCTCCGCCTCCTGCGTTCAAGCAATTCTCCTGCCTCAGCCTCCCGAGTAGCTGGGACTACAGGCGCGCACCACCATGCCCAGCTAATTTTTGTATTTTTAGTAGAGACAGGGTTTCACCATGTTGACCAGGATGGTCTTGATCTCTTGACCTTGTGATCCACCCGCCTCGGCCTCCCAAAGTGCTGGGATTATAGGCGTGAGCCACCGCACCCAGCCCTGTTTTTAAAGTTATTTTAGGCTCATGTGGTGGCTCACGCCTGTAATCCTACCACTTTGGGAGGCCGAGGCGGGCAGAGCACCTGAGGTCAGGACATGGTGAAACCCCATCTCTACTAAAAATACAAAAATTAGCTACGTGTGGTGGTGGGCACCTGTAATCCTAGCTACTGGGGAGACTGAGGCAGGAGAATTGCTTGAATCTGGGAGGTGGAGTTTGCAGTGAGCTGAGATGGCACCATTGCGCTCCAGGCTGGGCTACAAGAGTGAAACTCAGACTCAAAACAAAACAAAAAGTCATTTTAGGCAGGTGGCAGTGACCTCACGCCTGTAATCCCAGCACTTTGGAAGGCCAAGGCAGGAGGATTGCTTGAGTCCAGGAGGTCAAGACCAGGCTGGGCAACATGACGAATTCCTGTCTCTACAAAAAATTACCAGGCATGGTGGCGTGTGCCTGTAGTTCCAGCTACCTGGGAGGCTGAGGTGGGAGGATCCTTTGAGCCTGGGAGGCCGAGGCTACAGTGCGCCAAAATCACTCCACAGCACTCAACCAGGGGAACAGAGTGGGACCCTGTCTCAAAAAATACATATATATTAATTAAAAATTTTTAAAAAGTCATTTTCAAGCTTTTAACAACCTGGGCTGGCTGTAAGTAGGAAACCAGGCTACAAAGCTATACCTGTACATGATCTTATATACGTATATCCATGTGGCATGATCCCAATTATGTCTTTTTAAATATAGACACGTGCAAACATTCACAAGCGAGAAGACTCAAAGGACGTACGCTGAGGTGTTAGCAAGGGTTACTTCTGGTTGTGGGAGTCTGGGTAATTTTTGTTCTTAAACATCTTTATACCTCCCAAGTTCTTCACAATGTGTGTGTATTCTGTTATAAGAAATGAAAAAGCACCGGGCGCAGTGGCTCACGCTTGTAATCCCAGCACTTTGGGAGGCCGAGGCGGGTGGATCACGAGGTCAAGAGATCGAGACCATCCTGGTCAACATGGTGAAACCCCATCTCTACTAAAAATACAAAAAATTAGCTGGGCATGGTGGCACGTGCCTGTAGTCCCAGCTACTCAGGAGGCTGAGGCAGGAGAATTGCCTGAGCCCAGGAGGCGGAGGTTGCGGGTGAGACGAGATTGTGCCATTGCACTCCAGCCTGGGTAACAAGAGTGAAACTCCGTCTCAAAAAAGGAAAAAAAAAAAAAAAAAAAGAAATGAAAAAGCCTGTATCTGCAACAACGCTCCAGGAATTCCCTTTCTGGGAAGATGGTTGAAACGTGGCAGTGAGAGCCTGTGAGATGCAGCTGACAGGGGCCTGGAGGAGCCCGGAGCCAGACAGGGCCTCTGTGGTATTCTGAGTACTCTAGGCCTCTGGGTGGGCCCGGAGCTGCGGTACCACCAGGCTTTTCCCCTGAGGGACCAGTGCCTCACTGTGCCAGACTTCCCCTACTTTCCCCATCCCATAAGGCCCCCATGCCACTGAGGAGGGCAGGGTCCATCATGCAGGGCACATGTGGTAGAGGCACCGAGTCCATGCCTGGAGAGCATCACGAGGCTGGCATGGTGTTGGGGAGGATGAGCTTGCAGAGGTGGCCATGAGGCCAAGGGCAGAGTCACAAAGGGACTGGGGGTGGGGCCTGATAAATTTGGGTTAGGCTTCAACACTCAGGTGTCTGGGAGGAACCTGAAAGGTATGGAATCCCTGCTTCCTGCTGGGGTGGTCCGGTGCTGCAGCTCCCCCAGCCATGGTGGTGTGAAGGGGACAGGTCTACAGGCTCACACCACGTGGTTCTCATTGCAGACCGTGGAGCATGGCTTCCCGCACCAGCCCAGCGCCCTCGGCTATAGCCCATCTCTGCGCATCCTGGCCATTGGCACCCGTTCTGGAGCCATCAAGCTGTATCCTCCGTCCCCTCACTCCCAACTGGGTGGGGCCTCGGGGTGGATGAGATTTGGGGAAGGACATCTTTTCCCTCCTTGCCCAGGGCTGCTGGGATAAAATGAGGGACTTTCCTGAATTTCTAGCTCTGGACATGATTTTATTCCAAAGTGAGGAAGGTATGGTTTATGGCAGGACAGGGACCTGGTCATGGTGGGATGTGACCCTGTCCTTTGCAGGAGGACAGTGAGGTTGAAACTGACCGAAGAGGTACAGGTTTATTTCATCCCCTGTGTCCTTTCACGACGGTTCATGTGGTCTCCTCCCTGTACTCAGTTTCCCCTTCTCACCTGTTGCTGGAAGTTTCAGGACTCCCTGGGCAGGGGGAAAGGCCACTTCGGGGATCAGGAACCTGTTTTGCAGGAGCTGTGTTGGGGGATCCAGGGGGAAGGACCTGACGCCAGTCTCAGCCATTGCTCAGTAAATGAGTGGCTGGCTGGTGGGTCCGTAGCAAGGCCTGGCCCTTCTGTGCCCCTGCTTCCCTCAGCTCCCCATCTCCCCACAAGAAAAGCAAGTTACAGGGACCCGTCTTGTCGTTGGGGATGTTTGTAGTTACAAAAAATTTTTTTCAGCACTTTGGGAGGGTGAATCACTTAAAGTCAGGAGTTCAAGACCAGCCTGGTCAACATGGTGAAACCCCGTCTCTATTAAAAGTACAAAAAAGATAGCAAGGCATGGTGGCACATACCTGTAATCCCAGCTACTTGGGAGGCTGAGATGGGAGAATCGTTTGAACCTGGGAGGCAGAGGGAGGCAGAGGTTGCAGTGAGCCGAGATCGCGCCACTGCGCTCCAGCCTGAGCAACAGAGCAAGACTCCGTATCAAAAGAAAAAAATTTTTTTTGTAGAAACAGGGTCTTGTCATCTTGCCCAGCCTGGTCATGAACTCCTGGGCTCAAGCAACCCTCTGGCCTTGGCCTCTGAAAATGCTAGGGTTACAGGCGTGAGCCACTCCACTCCCAGCCGCAGTTTTGTTTTTAAACCTTCTTCCCCGATAACAATCAGAGGTGGACTGGCCCCAGGGCCCTAGCCACAAGCAGAGATGGGGGTCAGGTAGCCACCTTCCAAATTCCATCCCCACCCCCACAGGCAGCAGATAGTAGAGAGGGCTCCGCCTGGCAGGGACAGCTTTCCCCAGCCTGAGGCTGAACGTCGTCCAGTTGGGTCATCTTTTATCCAAAGCACTGGTTCTGGCCAACTGGGGGCTCCTGGTGTTTTCAGAGATGAAAAACCAGATCAGGTTGGGCACCCTGCCAATCCAATCTGTGCTCCCAAGCCAGGGCCCAAAAGGAGTTGAGAGATGGGGGACCACCTCCAATAGCTTGGTTGGCACCTCCAGCAGAACCCAACCTCCCTCTTCCCTTCTGCCCAGTGTGGGGGAGGGGTATGGAGCACTGGAATTCCAGGCTGGGCTGATGTACACAGGGGCCCAGGGCCTTGCTGCTGGCTCAGCCTTCCCTCGGCTGGTTAATCATTGCCAGGCCACAGCCAGACTCTGGTTACCAAACCCTGGTGCTGAGACTCATGGGCAGAGGCTGCTGGGGACAGGCTGGCGGGTGCTGTGTGTTCTCACAGGTGCCACCAAGCCACAGCCGATGTGTCTCTTGCAGCTCAGATTCAGGGTAGCAACCTGACAGTTGCCATGGTAGGGCTTCATCTTTTTTTTTTTTTTTTTTTTGGAGACAGAGTCTTACTCTGTTGCCCAGGCTGAAGTGCAATGGCACGATCTCAGCTCACTGCAACCTCCATTTCCTGGGTTCAAGTGATTCTCCTGCCTCAGCCTCCCATGTAGCTAGGACTACAGGTGCTTGCCACTATGCCCTGTTTTTTTGTATTTTTAATAGAGATGGGTTTCGCCCTGTTAGCCAGAATGATCTCAATCTCCTGACCTTGTGATCCGCCCACCTCAGCCTCCCAAAGTGTTGGGATTATAAGCGTGAGCCACCGTGCCCGGCTGGGCCTCACCTTTCTGTGGAGTTGCTCCCACTGGCCTGACTGGGAAAAATCTCCCAGGGGTCCGGTCACTAGCCTGGTGCCCTGGGGCCAGGGCTGCTGTAACTCTTCCCCACCCCAGCACCCCTCTGTGTTTGTGTTCCTTGCACATGGGCCCCGAGGTGGGCAGGGAATGGTGTCTGGCCTCCCAGAGATTTCCTGAGCCTACTCCTAGCTACGGAGCCCCAGGCGTGGAGTTCATGGGGCTGCACCGGGAGAACAACACCGTGACGCAGATCCACCTCCTGCCCGGCCAGGTGAGGGGCCTGGTATGGGACAGGAAGCCACCTCCATGCCCTCCTTGCCCACACTGCTTCCAGCAGGGCTATTGTGGAGCATTCACTGGCCCTCGGTTTGGTGCTTATGGGAAAACCTGGGGCCCCCTCCCTTTCCACAGTTGGGGCTCATGGGCCACCCTGGTAGTGGCCAGGGGTCTTTAAACAACCAGCCCAGGCTGGGTGGCCCCAGTATGTAAAGGCCTTTCCCGGGTAGCAAGACCACATGCTCCCATCCCTATTCCCTTGCTAGTGCCAACTGGTCACCCTACTGGATGACAACAGCCTGCACCTTTGGAGCCTGAAGATCAAGGGTGGGGCTTCGGAGCTGCAGGAGGATGAGAGCTTCACACTTCGTGGGCCCCCAGGGTAAGGGCTCAATCCCTATCCCCTTCCACTCCCGGCCCAGCCTGACCTTTGCCCCACCTCTGGAGTGGACTCACCCTTTGTGGGCCCTGTTGTGCCCCTGGCAGTGCCTGGCATGCATTTGAGCTGACGCATCGCCATGCTCAGGTGCTCTGAGTGGAGTGGGTAGGGCTGCAGCCCGCCTTCCCCATCCACACCCCAGGTCACACTGGAGGGTCCCTGGTGTCTTTCCTGCCTCCTAGCCCAGGCTCTCTGCTATCAGTCTCCTGTCTTGGCATAAAGTGACCAATGTTTGGCCCGAAATGCTGTGAACCCCATTAAAAGGCCTTATGGGCTTATTTTCTGAGGAGTCAGGGGACCCCGACCATGGGGTCTCCCCTCTCAGGCAGCAGTCAGCTCACAGGCAGCTGTTCTCGTCACAGGGCTGCCCCCAGTGCCACACAGATCACTGTGGTCCTGCCACACTCCTCCTGCGAACTGCTCTACCTGGGCACCGAGAGTGGCAATGTGTTTGTGGTGCAGCTGCCAGCTTTCCGTGTGCTGGAAGACCGGACCATCAGCTCGGACGCGGTGCTGCAGCGGTAAGCCCAGAGCCCGGCTGCTATTAGAAACCTCAGCCCCTCGAGTTAGGCATGGTTTCTCCCCTTGGTCCCCAGGAGTCTCTCAGGAGCTGTAATTTTTCTGCTGGGAATTCCATGGGGCTACCAGGGGAGACTCTTGGCTTCCTACCTGTCCCCTCCTGAGAATCTAACACCTTATCGTAGGTTAGCATCATATAACTGAAAAGGGGGATGTAGGGGCCCCTCATCTAAAGACCCCAAATGACTGTGTGATATCACTGACTCAGTCCAGTGTCCTTTGCACTATGGGTTTAAAGACCCCATGGACTACGCAGTGGGGGAGTTGGGCTCAAACCTCCCTACATCGCTGGGGCAGCTCCTGGTGCTGCCCTGAGCTGTGGGCACTTTGCCTAGCTTCCATTTGCTCGAAGGCTCCATGGCTAAAAAGCCTTGACCACCACAGGTGCGTGGGTCTGTGGAGATCATTTTGGAGGCTTTGCTCCTTATTGAGAGGGAGTCAGAGCAGGTTCAGGTGTGGAAGTGGGGGACGGGGGGCCCAAAGAAAGAGAGGAGACAGCGTCTGACAGGAGCATGTGGGGGCCGGGTCAGTCGTGGTAGAGTGATCTGTGGTTCCAAGGGGCAGGAGGAGGCCAGGGTGCTAGGCCCCTGGCCCTGCAGGGCTTTGGACTGGGCCCAGGATACACTCCTGCAACTGGCCAGCGGGCTGGCCAACCATGGGTGGTGGTGATGAAGCAGGGCCTGTCTGCCTAGGGCAGCGCATTGCTGGGCTGGGAGGACTCCCACTTGCAGCTGTGTCCCTCCGAGTGCATACCTCTTCCTTTCCTGTTCAGCAGGGCAGGGTTGGGGCAGTGAGCCCAAGGTCAGAGCAGAACACTTTGCAGGATTACAGGTGGCACAGTGGGTTACAGCCTGTGGGCAGGATGGCAGGAAGACCTGCACCCCAGCAGACGGCCATACCAGCACCCAGCTTCACCCTGTAGCTAGCTGGTAGGAGTCTAGTTGCAGGGCAGCAGGGAGATCCAAGTGTCCTGAGAGCCCCTCCTGCCAGTTTGTTTATTTGTTTATTGAGAGAGAGTTTCCCTCTGTCCCATGCTGGACTGCAATGGCGGGATCTCCACTCACTGCAACCTTAACCTCCCCAGCTCAAGCAATTCTCCTGTCTCAGCCTCCTCAGTATCTGGGATTACGGGTACCCGCACCCGGCTAATTTTTTTTTTTTTTTTTTTTTTAGTAGAGATAGGGTTTTACCATGTTGGCCAGGCAGGTCTCGAACTCCTGACTTCAGGTAATCCACCCACCTCAGCTTCCCAAAGTGTTGGGGTTACAGGTGTGAGCCACCACGCCCAGCCCCTTTCGCCAGTTCTTGTCCACTTGATGACACTTATCTGAGTTTTTAAAACATCTAATCCCTTAGTCTCACAACTCTGTCTCTGAGAAGTCTCTGTCCTAAAGATACAGAATAAGAATGATCTGCCAGTCACAGTGGCTTACAATCCCAGCACTTTGGGAGGCTGAGGCAGGAGAATCACTTGAGGTCAGGAGTTTGAGACCAGCCTGGCCAACATGGAGAAACCCCATCTCTACTAAAAATACAAAAAAATTAGCTAGGCATGGTGGCGGGTACCTGTAATCCCAGCTACTAGAGAGGCTGAGGCAGGAGAATTGCTTCAACCCAGTAGGCAGAGTTTGCAGTGAGCCAGAATGTGCCACTGGACCCCAGTCTCTGGGTGACAGAGTGAGACTCCATCTCAAAAAAAAAAAAAAAAGATCATTGTAGGGCTGTTTTTAATGGCAAAAAGTTGGAAGCTGACTAATTGTCTAACAATTTCATCTGTGTAAGCATAGTATTTGTATTTTTTTTTTTTTTTTTTTTTTTGAGACGGAGTTTTGTTCTTGTTGCCCAGGCAGAACTGCTGTGATATTATCTCAGTTCACTGCAACCTTCACCTCCCGGGCTCAAGCAATTCTTCTGCCTCAGACTCCCGAGTAGCTGGGATTGCAGGCATGTACCATCACACCAGCTAATTTTGTATTTTTAGTAGAGAGGGGGTTTCTCTATGTTGGTCAGGCTGGTCTTGAACTCCCAACTTCAGGTAATCTGCCTGCCTCGGCCTCCCAAAGGGCTGGGATTAGTAATCTCAGCCCTTTGGGAGGCTGAAGTGGGAGGGTTGCCTGAGGCCAGGAATTCGAGACCAGCCTGGGCAACATAGCAAGATTCCATCTCCCCCAACAAAAAATAAAAATTAATTGGGCAAGGTGGCACTCACCTGTGGTCTCATCTACTTGGGAGGTGGGAAGATCAATTGAGCCAGGAATTGGAGGCTGCAGTGAGCCACGATCAGGTCATTACCCTACAGCCTAGGTGACAGAGTGAGAGCCTGTCTTTTAAAAAAATTAAAAATTAGGCCGGGTGAGGTGGCTCACACCTGTAATCCCAGTACTTTGGGAGGCAGAGACGGGTGGATCATGAAGTCAGGTGTTTGAGATGAGCCTGACCAATATGGTGAAACTCCATCTCTACTAAAAATTAGCGGGGCGTGATGGCACATGCCTGTAATCTCAGCTACTCGGGAGGCTGAGGCAGGAGAATGTCTTGAACCCAGGAGGCGGAAATTGCAATGAGCTGAGACCGTGCCACTGCACTCAAGCCTGGGTGACTCTGTCTCAAAAAAAAAAAAAAAAATTAGCCAGGCATGGTGGCGTGCACCTGTAATCCCAGCTACTCAGAAGGCTGAGGCAGGAGAATCACTTGAAGCCGGGAGGTGGAGGTTATAGTGAGCCTCGATCGAACCACTGCACTCCAGCCTGGGGGGCAGAGCGAGACTGTCTCAAAGAAAAACATTAAAAATTAAATGCAGCTTTACTGATGTGGTTAAAGGCCCCTTCAACTCTCACTCTCAATTCAAATTCGAATGTCATTGAGGTCAGTGCCAGTAGTGGATGTGCCGGGTACAGATAATGCGGAGAACTTGGGTTTAGTGTGGCTCGGGTCCAGGCTGGGTCCACTTCCCACCCCATATCCTTGCTGTTGGCTGTTGGTCCCGTGCCTGCTGCCTTGTGGTTTTTGTTAGCTGCAACACCTCCAGCCCTCATGTCAGCATTCCTGGCCTGGAGATGGGGGAAGGGTCAAGGTTCCAGGGCCAGGCCAACTCATATAGAGTTTTGTTTGATAGGGCTAAAAAATTTGCTTCTTATGAAATATCCCCTTTTGCAAAAATGCACTGAATATGAATGTACAGTAGAACAGTTCTTGTAGAGCATCCTTGCAGCCACACTTTAGGCATAGAAATAGAACACTGACGCCCAACACCTTCTTAGTCAAGGCTCCCTCCGGCCCCCACGTTGACTTTTCCGGAAGTCACTGCCTTGCCTTGCCTTACAGTTGTACCGCTTGTGTTCACATCACTAGGGTTGTTTCCATGTCGCTGCCTTGTTCTACATGCTGTTCCTCTTCTCTTGGTGACCTGTCCTAGCCATCCTTCTTTTTTCTTTTTTGAGACAGAGTCTCTCTCTGTCACCCAGGCTGGAGAGCAGTGGTGTGATCTCGGCTCACCGCAACCTCCACCTCCCAAGTTCAAGCGATTCTCCTGCCCCAGCCTCCCGAGTAGCTGGGATTACAGGCACATGCCACCATGCCCAGCTAACTTTTTTTATTTTTAATAGAGACAGGATTTCACCATGTTGGCCAGGCTGGTTTCAAACTCCTGACCTCAAGTGATCCACCTCAGGCTCCCAAAGTGCTGGGATTATAGGCATGAGCCACTGTACCTGGCCATCCACCTCGCCCAGTCCGTAGCCATCTTTCCGTGCAGGCATATGGAGCAGACACCTCTGCATGGGGAACCCCGGGGCTGTGCCATGCTGGGGCCATACCCCTGGCGGTGGCATCAGAGGCTCATAGCACTCCCCTCTATGACAACCCAGGTTGCCAGAGGAGGCCCGCCACCGGAGGGTGTTTGAGATGGTGGAGGCGCTGCAGGAGCACCCTCGAGATCCCAACCAGATCCTGATCGGCTATAGCCGAGGCCTCGTTGTTATCTGGGACCTGCAGGGCAGCCGTGTGCTCTACCACTTCCTCAGCAGCCAGGTAGGCAGTGCCCGGGACATGGCAGGTGCCATGTTGCTCTCCCGGGCCCCACATGGCATGTACATGCTCTGTGCAGAGGCATGGGCTGCAGGCGATGGGAACTCTGCCTCAGTCCCAGCCTGCTGCCCTCTCTCCCTCTCCTCCTCCATAGCAACTGGAGAACATCTGCTGGCAGCGGGATGGCCTCCTGCTGGTCAGCTGCCACTCCGACGGCAGCTACTGCCAGTGGCTCGTGTCCAGCGATGCCCAGCAACCAGAGCCCCTCCGCAGCCTCGTGCCTTATGGTCAGTGTTGCACCCGCCAGGCAGGGCCCACCCCCTGGATTCAGGTGCAGGATGCTCAACTCAAGCAAACTCTGGGGCCAGAAAGGGAAAGGCTTTGTCCAAAGCCACACAGCAGGGTTCCTGTCACCCAGTTTCTTGGGGAATTTCTCAGAGCAAGAGTCCCAAGCAGGTCTGCCATGTGGGTGTGGGCATGAGCTTGAGGGATCTGTGCCCGTGGGGACTGACGCTTGTCTGAGAGCTGGAGGATCCATTCAAGCCAATCTGTTTCCTTGCAGGTCCCTTTCCTTGCAAAGCTATTACCAAAATCCTCTGGCTGACCAGCAGGCAGGGGTAGGTATCTGTGCTGGTCCTTTTCCCTCTCCAGAGCCTTCCTGGAGAGCTGGAAAAGGCTGGAAAGGTCACTTAGGCCTCTGCTTGGGAAGACAGTGCCTAGTGAACACTCTCGGGTCCCACGTTGGGGTCTTGGATGCCAGGGAGGGGAGAGTAGGTGGATGCTGTTCATGTCTGTCAGCAGCCCAGTTTTTGCCAAGTTCATTCCCGCTCCTTCCTTCCACCCTCCCAGAGAGACCATATTGAGCTGCAGGTCTCAACCCCCTTTACTGGCAGCCCTGTTTCTCGAAAATCACTCTGGATGATGTTTAAACGGATTTGGGGGGAGTACCCAGCTTGAGGCAGGAGTGGCTGCCGAGACTCCGAGCCCCCAGCCTGGATGCTCCCACCTTGCCCCCAAGTTCTCCTGGGCTGTTGCATTTGGAAGGAGATGGGGTCCAGCTCCATCTGCTCCTGGGGAACTTGACTGAGTGATCTCTTTGATCACCAACCTGTGACTTTGAGGCCATGCCGGGAGACCCAGCCCACCCCTGCTCCTCTGTGCCTGCCAGGTTGCCCTTCATCATCTTCCAGGGCGGCATGCCTCGGGCCAGCTACGGGGACCGCCACTGCATCTCGGTGGTCCACGACAGCCAGCAGACAGCTTTTGACTTCACCTCCCGGGTCATCGACTTCACTGTCCTCACAGAGGCAGACCCCACAGCCGGTAGGAGAGCTTCGAGTGTGGGAGGCATGGGGCAGGTCCATCAGTAAAGAAAGGGCCAGGTGCAGTGGCTCTTGCCTGTAATCCCAGCACTTTGGGAAGCCAAGGTAGGAGGATTGCTTTAGCCCAGTCATTCAAGTCCAGCCTGGGCAACGTAGGGAGACCCCTGTCTCTACAAAAAACAAAAAAAATTAGCCAGGTATTGTGGCACACACCTGTAGTCCCAGCTACTCAGGAGGCTGATGGGAGGATCACTTGAGCCTGGGAGGTGGAGGTTGCAGTGAGCCAAGTTCATGCCACTGCATTCAGCCTGGGTGTTAGAGCCAGACCGAGTCTTAAAAAAACAATGATGGGCTGTGCACAGTTGTTCCTAAGCCTGCCACTGTCCTGAGTCCCTTAGCCTCACTACACCCCAAGGTGGAGTGTCACCAAGGCCTGCAGTTCCTTTCTCTGCCTCCCTGCCACCCTCCCCAGCTGGAGACTCAGACCAGCCATATCTCCTGCCTGCCCTGGGCTCTCTGCCCTTTCCAGACTGGAATGGAACTTAGCCCACAGGGGGCTGATCTGGACTGTTAGATTTAATACCCACCTGGCTGAGGCAAGAGGGTCCTGGCTTAGGGATGGCAAAGACTGCCTTCTGGTCAGGGCAGAAAGTGACTGTGTGGCCTCCTGGAGCTCCAGCATGACCGGCAGATCCCTGAGTCAGCCTCGTAAATAGTGTGACAGGCAAGACCAGAAAGGGCTGATGTCGAAACCTGGAGAGGAGGCCTGCAGGAGCTCCAGGAGGGAGGGCCCTCTCCTAAGGATGTCAGCCTGAAAGGGCCTGAGGCTGAAAGGTGAGGGGGCGGGGCTGCTCAGGACACCTGCTCTGTGTTCTCACAGCCTCTACCCTGTTCAGGGGAACCCCAAACCTGCTTTTCCTTCTTTCTTAGCCTCTCTTCCCTCCTCACACCCTGGATGCTAAGAGCAGAGCCCAGCTCCACTCTTTCCACAGCACTCAGGCCATGCCAGCACAGAGCGGGGGCCTCCTGGGCTATGGTGGCCACACTCCCTGGGCTGAGTTAACCAGATTCCCAGGGGAAAGGTCAGGAAGGGAGGGGAGAAACTTGCTGAGCTACAAATTCAAGACTGCTGGGCTTTCTAGGACAGGCCACCTTCCTGCAATTATCCCTCTGTGTACCTAACTCCCCACAGTCCCACAGGCCAGAAGATGGGTACCTGATGAGGGGTGCTTCCCTCAGATGAGACATGGGCACCCTTAGGCTCCCACATAGTGGTCTGGCTTGCCAGGTTCTGACCCAGCTGTCCCTGGAAGGCTTTCCTGTTTAAAGAGCACCTGCTACGTGCCACGCCCTATTCTAGAAACAGATGAGGTTCCTGTTCCCATGAAACTTAGATCTGATTTGGGGAGAGAGTGACCAGGTTGCCAAATAACATCAGAGGTAAGAAAAAAGCCAGGCAGAGGACAGCAGCACTGGTTTAGATGAGCATTAGCAAGGCCTCCCTGATAAGGGGACATATTTGCATAGACACAGGAACAATCTGAGAGAGGGCTCATCCTGTAGGGACCTGGAGTGCAGATTGAGCTGGGAGAGCTCTTGGCTTGCTCCATTAAGGTAGGGGCGGAAGAAGCAGAATGGCTGCGGAGATGATGCCAGTTGTGGCCAGCGCTGGATCATATAGAGCTGAGGAAGCACGGTCAGGACTTGCTGTTTAATTTGAGGGAGATGAGAGCCCCCAGCAGGGGTGCCATGACCTAGCCTCTGCTCCAAAACGATGTGTCTGGCTGCGGTGTGAGGAACATGGAGTGGAGCAGACAGGGCCCAGTGAGAGTGGCTGGGGTTATACTGTCTTTTCTGACATTCAGCATTGAGGGGCCAGGTCAGGGCTCATAGACTGTTTCTGTAAAGGGCCGGGTAGCTTTTTTCACCACAGCTACTCAGTCTAATGCCATTGCAGAGCAAATGTAGCCACAGCCAAGACAAGGGGCGGATCTGTGTTTCAGGACAACCGTATTGACAATAGGCAGGAGGCCAGATTTGGCCCTCGGGCTGTAATTTCTTGGCCCCTTGTCTAGGGAGAGATGAGTGAAGGGAGGAGAGATCACTCAAGGATGATGTGAGATCTTGCTGGGAGCACCAGGAATCCCGGAGAAGGCAGTGGTGAGAGGGTGTGGCAAGCTCAGCTGGGTGGGAGTCAGGTTTGGGAACTTAATCTCTCCTCCGAACTCCAGAGGCATGAGGGAGATACTGAATACATAACTGGGGTCTATGGCTCTGGAGTTCAGAGGAGAAATTGGGAAGGTGTCTGTTTGGAGTCTTCCACGCAGAGATGTGTGAAGGCTCTCAGTGATTTTGAGGTTTAAAGAAAAGAGTGTTAGAGAGAGATGTGAGACCAGGGGCCCTGATGAGGCTTCCCAGGTGGTGAGGAACACAGAAGAGAAGCCACGGGAAGGCTGAGCAACATGGCAAAACCCTATCTCTACCAAAAATATAAAAATTAACCAAGTATAGTGGCTCACACCTGTAATCTCAGCTACTCGGGAGGCTGAGGCAGGAGGATCACTTGAATGGGGAGGTGGAGATTGCAGTGAGCCGAGATCGCACGACTGTACTCCAGCCTGGGCAACAGTGAGATCCTGTCTCAAAAAAAAAGAGAGAGAGAGAGAAAAGAAAGGAGGCCAGGTGTGGTGGCTCATGCCTGTAATCCCAGCACTTTGGGAGGCTGAGGTGGGTGGATCACAAGGTCAAGAGATGGAGAACATCTGGCCAATATGGTGAAACCCCATCTCTACAAAAAAAAAAAAAAAAAAAATTAGCTGGTCGTACTCCAGCCTGGGCAACAGAGCAAAACCCTGTCTAAAAAAAAAAAAAAAAAAGAGAAATCATGTTATCATCCAGTGCACGTTTATTGAGTGCTAGCTGGAGCCAGGCCTGAATGAGGTAAGGTGATTGCGTGCAGTAAGAAAATGCCACCCTTAGCAGCTGGTGTGCTGAAGACCAGGTTTGCTGCTGCCTGTGGGGAGAGGCTGGGCAGGCACATCTGAGCAGGGAGCAGGCCCCGTGGAGGAGGAACCAGGGAAGAGGGTTGGCAGGACAGCTCCATTGCCTGTCCTGGTTGGAACCCTGCCTTCCAGCCAGGTATGCCCCCCCCTCAAGAGCCCTGTGCCAGGTAGCTCTCAGCCACTTTGCACACAGAGGTAGGGCTGCTGCCCACACCTCCTGCCCTCCTGGAGTGGAAAGGCTTTGTTCAAGCAGCCAAGAACAGGGCTTTCTGGGTCTGCAGATGCCCTGGCTCCCACCCTGGAGCTTCTGATTCCACAGGGCTGGGCTGCTTCCTCCTAGCCCCAGCTCCTGATCCTTGGCCTGTACCCCAGCCTTTGACGACCCCTACGTGCTGGTGGTGCTGGCTGAGGAGGAGCTGGTGGTGATTGACCTGCAGACAGCAGGCTGGCCACCGGTCCAGCTGCCCTACCTGGCTTCCCTGCACTGTTCCGCCATCACCTGCTCCCACCACGTCTCCAACATCCCCCTGAAGCTGTGGGAGCGGATCATCGCCGCTGGCAGCCGGCAGAATTCACACTTCTCCACCATGGTAGGTCCGACCCTGGCCCCAGCCCCAGGCCCAGCCCACCCCCACCCCAGGCCAAACTCTCCATGGACTTCTTGGTCTCTTTCTCTAGGAGTGGCCGATTGACGGTGGCACCAGTCTAACCCCAGCCCCACCCCAGAGGGACCTGCTGCTCACAGGGTAAGGGACTTTGATGCCTTCCTCTTCCCAGCAGGATATGTGGGGTGGGAGCAGAGCCCTGAGGTGGACAAGCCAGCCCCTGGGTGCCCCGGCTGGCATCCCTCTCACATCTGGCAGGTGGGCTCTGCTCACAGGCATGAGGATGGCACGGTGAGGTTCTGGGATGCCTCGGGTGTCTGCTTGCGGCTGCTTTACAAACTCAGCACGGTGCACGTGTTCCTCACCGACACGGACCCCAACGAGAACCTTAATACCCAGGGCGAGGATGAGTGGCCTCCACTCCGCAAGGTGAGGCCAGGAGCCTGGGAACGAGGAAGGGCAGAGACCAGCTGGGTCCCGCTCCCCATGGCCGCTCACAGGGCCCCTCTCCTTTGCCAGGTGGGCTCCTTTGACCCCTACAGTGATGACCCCCGGCTGGGCATCCAGAAGATCTTCCTCTGCAAGTACAGTGGCTACCTGGCTGTGGCAGGCACGGCAGGGCAGGTAGCAGGCTAGGCCGGGGAAGGGGACTCAGGGAGGAGTGATGGGTAACTGGGGACAGCAGGGACAGGAGCCAGCCACCTGCCTGACACACATTCTGTGTCCTGTGCTCTTCCAGTGGATGGAGGTGGCTTAGTCCTCTTGGCAGGAAGTCCCTGGGATGGTTTTTTCTTCTGCAGAAATCAGAATTAAGGGCTGGGCCAGGCACCGTGACTCACGCCTGTAATCCCAGCCCTTTGGGAGACCAAGGCAGGTGGATCACCTGAGGTCAGGAGTTTGAGACCAGCCTGACCAACCTGGTGAAACCTCATTTCTACTAAAAATACAAAAGTTAGCCAGGCATGGTGGCTCACGCCTGTAATCCCAGCCACTGGAAGGCTGAGACAGAAGAATTACTTGAACCTGGGAGGTAGAGGTTTCAGTGAGCCCAGATGGCAACACTGTGTTCCAGCCTGGGCAACAGAGAAAGACCGTCTCAAAAAAAAAGAATTAAGGGCTGGGGTTGGACAGAGGCCTCTGGCCCTGCTTGAGCCCAGGGCCTTGGCCTGGGTCCCCGCTCCTCTGCTGTCCCCACGGGTAGCACCCTGCGGCCCTGCCATCCCTTTGCTGAGGGTTTGCTGAGCTGCCTGCCGCCCTGCCCAGGTGCTGGTGCTGGAGCTGAATGATGAGGCAGCAGAGCAGACTGTAGAGCAGGTGGAGGCTGACCTGCTGCAGGACCAGGAGGGCTACCGCTGGAAGGGCCACGAGCGCCTGACAGCCCGCTCAGGGCCTGTGCACTTCGAGCCTGGCTTTCAGCCCTTCGTGTTGGTGCAGTGCCAGCCCCCGGCTGTGGTCACCTCCTTGGCCCTGCACTCTGAGTGGCGGCTCGTGGCCTTCGGCACCAGCCATGGCTTTGGCCTCTTCGACCACCAGCAGCAGCGGCAGGTCTTTGTTAAGTGAGCAGGGCGCTGGGACCCGGGGCTGGGAGAGGGGCCCACGAGGACCCCCAGGACCTGGCCACACTGATAGCCTGCCATCTCCCCAAGGTGCACATTGCACCCCAGTGACCAGCTGGCCTTGGAGGGCCCACTGTCCCGCGTCAAGTCCCTCAAGAAGTCCTTGCGCCAGTCATTCCGCCGGATGCGACGGAGCCGGGTATCCAGCCGGAAGCGACTCCCTGCTGGCACCCCAGGAGAGGTGAGGCCCTCGGCGAGGCTGCGAGCAGCCATAGGCCCAGGTTCAGCTTAGAGTAGCCAGCAGGGAGGGCTACACAGCCCCTGCTCCCCAGGCTTGTGGGGCTACAAACAAGACTCAGGATCCAAACAGCATGAGTTTGCCACCATGTGTGACCTCAGACAAGTCCCGCTGTTTCTCTGTGCCTCAGCTTCCGGAGCAGAAAGGCAGTAACTGTAACACTTACCCTAGAGGCAATCCCCAGTAAGCATTAGTGATTTTCTTTTTCTCTCTACGACATGCTGGGGGCCCAAGCAGGCTCCCCCCAGGGCATCTCCCACTTGGACAAGGGTCCCCCTAGACGCAGGCCTGGCAGGTGGCTGGCATGGCTGTGGCCAGCCTTCCGATGCAAGGATCGGCATTGACCAAAGCACTGTCCCTGGGGAGGGGAGGCTGGAGCTGACCCTCAGGACAGCCACCCCCCACAGGTACAGGAGGGGAGCGCCAAGGCTGAGCGTCCAGGCCTGCAGAACATGGAGCTGGCGCCTGTGCAGCGCAAGATTGAGGCTCGCTCGGCAGAGGACTCCTTCACAGGCTTCGTGAGGACCCTGTACTTTGCTGACACCTACCTGAGGGACAGTGAGTGGCCAGCCTGCAGTTGGGAGGGGGGAGCAGCAGACACCTCCTGACCTGGGGGCATGCAGGGGCCGCTGCCTGCATGGGTGGTGGGGCCTAAGACGGTTTTCCCTTGTGAGCAGGGGCAGACTGCAGCCTCTGCCTGCCTCCTCCCCTCCCCTGCCTGGGCCTTGGAGTCAGCTTGCTTTGGCTTCCTATCCAGGCTATAGCATCCTTTAGAAGCATGGCCTCAGACCCGTCACTCAGCCTTTCAGGGCCTCAGCTTGCCCCTCTGTAAAATGAGGGAATGATAGCTTCCTCCTAAAGCAGTTGTGACAATCAGGGATAACAGAGCCTGCTGGTCCCCAGAGGGTGTGCCTTTCCCTGGTGGGTTCTCCCCCTGCTGTATCTCAGCAAGGGCTGAGCTGACCCAGGATTGGGGTCCTATGTTGGGGCCTGTGTGGTTGTCAAAGAGCCTTCCAGCCTCTCCCAGGAGGGAAAACCTGGGAATAAGCCCTGGTTGCTCAGCTCCACCTGCCTCCCAAGGGTCAGACACTCACACGTGGCTTCTCGGCAGGCTCCCGTCACTGCCCCTCACTGTGGGCTGGCACCAACGGGGGCACCATCTATGCCTTCTCCCTACGTGTGCCCCCTGCCGAGCGGAGAATGGATGAGCCTGTGCGGGCAGAGCAGGGTGAGTGCTGGGCAGGGAGAGCAGAGGGTGCTTGGGCTGCCTGGACTGGGGCCGGGAGTGGCTCCAGCCCCACAACCCCCTCCTTCCCATAGCCAAGGAGATCCAGCTGATGCACCGTGCGCCAGTGGTAGGCATTCTGGTGCTCGACGGACACAGCGTACCCCTTCCCGAGCCCCTAGAAGTGGCCCATGATCTGTCGAAGAGTCCAGACATGCAGGGGAGCCACCAGCTGCTCGTCGTGTCAGAGGAGCAGTTCAAGGTGCCACACTGGCAGCGGCGGGACTCCCTGGGACTCTCAGGACATCCAGGAGACTTGGACCTTGGGCACAAATGATGGCTGGGACTCAGGCTTGTTTGCAGTTGGTGTCTGAGGGGCCGCAGAAACTCAGGAAATAAGGCGGGGAGGGCTTGTATGAGGACACTGAGGCAGGACCTATGTCTGTGGAAGGGTTAAAATCCAGACAGGGGCCCAGGCGCAGTGGCTCACACCTATAATCCCAACACTTTGGGAGGCCAGATCACAATGTCAAAAGTTCGAGACCAGCCTGGCCAACATGGTGAAACCCTGTCTCTACCAAAAATACAAAAAAATTAGCCCAGCATGGTGGTGGGTACCTGTAATCCCAGCTACTTGTGAGGCTGAGGCAGGAGAATTGCTTGAACCCTGGAAGCAGAGGTTGCAGTGAGCTGAGATCATGCCATTGCACTCCAGCCTGGGCAACAGAGCAAGACTCTGTCTCGGAAAATAAAATTCAGACAGGAAATTCAGTGACCTCGGCATCCTCCTAGACTGTGCATCTGAGAGCCAGGTTTGCCAGGATACCGGGAGGCATGGGGGAGGGCAGGGCCCAGCAGCAGCAACAGCAGCATGGGGCAGGAGAACTGTGGTTTGGCCATGGGCATGAACGACCATCCTGTGCCCACAGGTGTTCACACTGCCCAAAGTGAGTGCCAAGCTGAAGCTGAAGCTGACAGCCCTAGAGGGCTCACGGGTGCGGCGGGTCAGCGTGGCCCACTTCGGCAGCCGTCGAGCCGAGGACGGGGAGCATCACCTAGCAGTCCTCACCAACCTGGGCGACATCCAGGTGGTCTCGCTGCCCCATCTCAAGCCCCAGGTGCGCTACAGCTGCATCCGCCGGGAGGACGTCAGCGGCATCGCCTCCTGCGTCTTCACCAAATACGGCCAAGGTGTTTGAGCCGGGCTGGGCGGGGTGGGGGCCCAGACACTGCAGGGGCAGGGCGGAAGGTGGCCAGGGTTATTGTGGCCACAGACAGACTGGATGGGCCTTAAGCGGAAGCCAGGCTGCTAGCGCTGCCCCCACTCCCCAGGCTTCTACCTGATCTCTCCCTCTGAGTTCGAGCGCTTCTCTCTCTCCACCAAGTGGCTGGTGGAGCCCCGGTGTCTAGTGGATTCAGCAGAAACCAAGAACCGCTGCCCTGGTAACAGGGCAGGCCCCAAGAAGGCCCCGAGCCGAGCCAGGTGAGTGAAAGGGCTGGAGGCTTCTCCCGCCCCTCCCTGCCCTCTCTGAGATACCCTGAGGCTCCCAGCGCTACCTGGCCGGAGGCATCTCCCCACAGCTCAGTCCACCCTCCCAGGCCCCAGCTCTTTGTACCTCTTTGCGTGCCCCACGCCTCCATGCAAGCTGGCAGTCCAGGGCTGGGCTCAGTTTACCTCCCAGGCGCTGCTGCTCAGGGCAGGTCGCGGCAGTTGACTTTGTTCTTCACGGGAGCAGGGCTTTCAGAGCCGGGCAGGGAGCCCAGGGGCCCTGATCCTCACTGTCTCTCCCCCACAGGATCTCAGGAACCCAGAGTGATGGCGAAGGTAAGAGGCCTCCTGGGCCCATGCACTCCTTGGCCACACCCAGGCCAGTCCTCCGGCTGGACGGGACGGGAGGGGTCCCAAGTGAGCAGGTAGTGTTCAGGCTGGGAGTAGAGACAGGATTTCTTCCAGCCCTGCACCCTGGGCTTCCAAATCCTGACCTCAGTGAGGAGAGAGCTGGGCCAAGGAGGGCCTAGGCGGGGCTCCCTGACCTACCTCTACCTTCCAGAGAAGCTGCCGGGCCTAGGAATGGAGCGAGCTCTACTGAGTGATGAGAGTGAGTCGGGTGGAAGAGGGTGGGGCTGGCAGAAGGAGTGGGGAAAGGGGTCAGGGTCAGGGAGGCTGGACAGGCCATTGCTCTGAGGTGGGGGCTGATCTATCCCACTCCCTTGGTGAAAGTGGGTGGAAGGGCTATGGCTGGCTGCCCAAGGGCCTCAGTGGGCCTCTGTTCCCACCCGGCCTGCAGGAGTCCTGAAGGAAATCCAGAGCACACTGGAGGGAGACCGAGGGTGAGGCACCGCCCAGGCCGGCTGGGGTGGGCCCAAGGCTCTTCGAGGGGCCCAGGGGAGTGCTGAGAGTGGAGGTCCCCTGAGGTTGTGACTCCTCTGCCTTTGCCCTGCAGGAGCTGTGGCAATTGGTGCTCGCCTCGAGCGGCCGTGGAGTGCAGCCTCAGCAATGGCGGAGGTGGGAGCTCTGGGCTCCGGTGCAGCTGCTGGATGTGCTGGGAAGGGATGGGAGAAAGAACCCTGCCCCACCTCCCCTGGGTCCCACAGGCCTGATGTGTGCCCTGATGACCTGGAAGGCACCATGTCTGGGCTCAGGGTGGGCAACTGGGGCACCCCGTCCTGCCCAGGGTGATCCTGAGCTGTCCCTCTCTGTCCTTTAGCAGAGTGAGTAGCTGGGCATCCGGGCTGCGTGGTGAGCACACACTACTACTGGTGGCCTTCGGGGTCCCTGCCCAACAGGAGAGGCTGGTGCACAGGGCCCCACCAGGGGCTGGGGGCACCCCGGCTTCCACTCTGCAGCTGCTCTGGGCCTTGGGAGAGGAGAGACCCCGGCCTCTGGGGCTGCCCCTCCAGGCCTGTCTGTCTGGATCCTTCAGTCAATGTTGCACAGTTTTTATGGCTCCCATCCCTTTTTGTAGTGGGCTGGGTTTTAAGTTATAAATTTTAACTGCCTCTGGGTGAAAACGTTTTTAATAAACACCTATTACCTCTTGACTCGACTGGTCCACCTACTTTAATATTTCAATCGTGTAGATTTTCCATGTGAGTGGAAAGTGGGAGCCAGTACCTTGCCTGTCCCCCGAGGTTCCAGCCCTGGCCTGGGCCACGTCAGGAGAAAAGCACCTGGGGGGTGACCTGAGAGAGAACCACGGATTGACAGGGAGTATGGCAGGCAGGCAGACTGGTCCAGAGAAAGGACAAGAGGGGTCAGCAGCACTCCAGGAACTCGCTTGCCCTGGGAGGCGGTGGAGAGCTGAAGGCGGCTGGCAGGCAGGGCTGAAAAAGAGCCAAGACTACAGAGGTCCATTGAGAGTCAGGTGCTGTCATGTGTGTGACAAGTGACTGCCCAGCCTAAGGGGGGAAAGGGCCATCAAGAGGAGCTGGGCACCAGGTGTTCCATCTGGCCATGTCCAGCTCCAGATGGCCAGGTAACCACCCCTTGTGTCCCCTTGGGAGGGTGCAGAAGGAGTTCTGCGATGACCAACTCGAGGACTATGAGGATGTGGGGGAGCAGTTCCCCAAAGAGAGAGGAGTGCCGTGCTGGAAGTAGGGAAGGGATGATGCCTGGCAGAGACCAGCCACAGGGGTGGGGGACACCTGAGACACCTGTATTAGTCCCTTCCCATACTGCTATAATGAACAAGAGGTAAGCTGGGCGCGGTAGCTCACGCTTGTAATCTCAACACTTTGGAGGGCGGAGGTGGGTGGATCACCAGGTCAGGAGTTTGAGACCAGCCTGGCCAATATGGTGAAACCCTGTCTCTACTAAAAATACAAAAATCGCTGGGCATGGTGACGCACACCTGTAATCCCAACACTTTGGGAGGCCACAGTGAGCAGATCACCTGAGGTCAGGAGTTCGAGACCAGCCTGACCAATATGGTGAAACCCCGTCACTACTAAAAGTACAAAATTTAGTTGGGCTGTGGCATTGCGTGCCTGTATTTCAGCTACTCAGAGGGCTGGGGCAGGAGACTCACTTGAACCTGGGAGGCATACATTGCAGTGAGCCGAGATCAAGCCACTGCACTCCAGCCTGGGTGATAGAGTCTCAAAAAAAAAAAAAAATTAGCTGGGCGTGGTGGCGTTCACCTGTAATTCCAGCACTTTGGGAGGCGGAGGCTGGGGGAATCACAAGGTCAGAAGTTTTGAGACCGGCCTGACCAACATTGTGAAACCCCGTTTTTACTAAAAATACAAAAATTAGCTGGGTGTGGTGGCATGCCCCAGTAGTCCCAGCTACTCAGGAGGCTGAGGCAGGAGAATCGCTTGAACCTGGAAGGCAGAGGTTGCAGTGAGCCAAGATCACGCCACTGCACTCCAGCCTGGGCAACAGAGTAAGACTCTGTCTGGAAAATAAAAAAATAAATAAAAACGACCAACCTGGTCAACATGGTGAAAACCTGTCTCTACTAAAAATACAATTGGCTGGGCATAATGGTGCATTTCTGTAATCCCAGCACTTTGGGAGGCCGGATCACTGGAGGTCAGGAGTTCAATTCCAGCCTGGCCAACATAGTGAAACCCTGTTTCCTCTAAAAATACAAAAATTAGCTGGGCATGGTGGCAGGTGCCTGTAACCCCAGGAACTTGGGAAGCTGAGGTAGGAGAATCACAAACCTGGGAGGTGGAGGTTGCAGTGAGCCAAGATCACACCACTGCACTCTAGGTTGGGCAACAGAGTGAGACTCCGTCTCAAAAATTAAAAAAAAGATAATGGTGATAATGCAAGTACCAGTGAATCAGAAGAAAACGGCAGAACCTGCATTTCTGTGGCACAGAGGAGCCTGGTGGCCACAACACAGGTCTCGCTGATGAGATTGAACAAGAGGTCCAAAACACACAGCCCTGAAAATATCAGGACGACTCCGAACATGGACTTACTTCCATGCTCATTCCGGCTGAGCTTTGAGCTTTGCTGTAAGTAAGCTGTGCTTTGAAGTATTAGCTAATGTTGGTTTGCATATTTCAGTTTAAGAAAACATTCTCTTACCGGGAGTGTGAGATGAACAATTTTTATTGATGGATGTGCACAAATGGAAAGACGTGGCGTCCTCCTCTCTCGAAAGTGAACTGGAGGAGGCTGGGGTCCACACAGCCACCCAGGGGCAAGGTGATGGTGGTGGCGAAATAGAGGCATCGAGGGTTGTCTTGACCAGTTTGGCTGCCAGATGGGAGGAGGCGAGTGAGTGTGAGCGCTACCCGTTGCCTCCAAGGGCTGGGAGGTGTAAAGCAGGTAACTGGATTCATGGTCTGGAGCTTTATTTATTTTTATTTATTGGTTTTTTAGAGACAGGGTCTCTATCACCTAGGCTGGAGTACAGTGGCATGATCATGGCTCACTACAAACTTGACCTTCAAGGCTCAAGCAATCCTCCTGCCTCAGTTGTCCAAAATGATTACAGTCATAAGCCACTGAGGCTGGCCATGGAGATTGATTTTAGAGACAGTCTTGCTCTGTTGCCCAGGCTGGAGTGCAGTGGTGTGATCACAGCTCACTGTAGTCTGGAACTCTTGGGTTGGAGCAAATCACCCCAGTAGCTGGGCCCACAGGTGCATGCCACCAGGCCTAATTTTTTTTTTTCAAGACAGAGTCTCACTGTCACCCAGGCTGGAGTGCAGTGGCATGATCTTGGTGCAATGCAACCTCCGCCTCCCAGATCCAAGCAATTCTCCTGCCTCAGCCTCCTGAGTAGCTAGGACTACAGGCACACACCACTATGCCTAGCTCATTTTTGTATTTTTAGTAGAGATGGTGTTTTACCGTATTGGCAAGGCTGGTCTCAATCTCCTGACCTCGTGATCTGTCTGCCTCGGCCTCCCAAAGTGCTGGGATTACAGGCATGAGCCACTGCACCTGTCTTAATTTTTAATTTTATTATTATTATTAGTTTTGAGATGGAATCTTGCTCTGTAGCCCAGGCTAGAGTGCAGTGGCACGACCTCGGCTCACTGTACCCTCCACCTCTTGGGTCCCAGTTCAAGCAATTAGCTGGGATTATGGGCACACACCACTATGCCCCACTAATTTTGTATTTACAGTAGAGACAGGGTTTCACCTTGTTGGCCAGGCTGGTCTTGAACTCCTGACCTCGTGATCCACTAGTCTCAGCCTCCCAAAATGCTGGAATTACAGGCATGAGCCACCGTCCCTGGCCAATTTTTTGTTTTTAAATTTTTTGTAGAGACAGGAACTCCCTATATTGCCCAGGCTGGTCTCAAATTCCTGGTCTCAAGTGACAATCCTGCCTCAGCCTCCCAAAGTGTTGAGATCATAGGCAGGAGCTGCCACACCCGACCAGTCTGGAGATTCAGACATGAGGGTCTCTGGCATTCAAAGTGGTGGAGACCTGGTGTTCATTAAGCCTTTGAAGCCAGGCAGATCCAGCCCTTGAACACTGGCTTTCCGGTGACTGGCTGCATGACCTTGGGTGCATGACCTTGTTCCTAGTTGACTTAACTGTAAAGTGACGGATAATAATAGGAACTACCTCAGAGGGTTGTAAAGAATTAAATGAGAGCCCGTAAAATCACACCTGACTCCTAGTTAACACCCAACCCTAGGAGGTGAAAGTTAATGTGGATGGTGAGTGAGGCCAAGAGAGAAGGAGAGGGCTCCAGAGGAGGGGGATGGAAGGAAGTCTAAAGAGGACTTGGCACACAGACCCAGGGAAGAGCTCACTATATACTGGTGAGCAAAGCAGGCAAAGGAAGGCAGTGGGGAAGCAGAGGCTGATCTCCCCCTCACCCATGTCAAGATTAGCCAAGCTGTTCCCTGAAGGTCATAGAGCCAGGAGGTGGAGCAGTGCAGCTGTGATAGGGGATGAAGTTGATTCCAGCAGCAGCGCTTCGGAGCTCCACAGTGTGGGTTCAGCCTATAATCCCAGCACTTTGGGAGGCCAAAGCAGGTGGATCATGAGGTCAAGAGATCGAGACCATCCTGGTCAACAAGGTGAAACCCCATCTCTACTAAAAATACAAAAATTAGCTGGGCATGGTGGTGCACGCCTGTAGTCCCAGCTACTCAGGAGGCTGAGGCAGGAGAATTGCTTGAACCCAGGAGGCGGAGGTTGCAGTGAGCCGAGATCGTGCCATTGCACTCCAGTCTGGGTAACAACAACGAAACTCCATCTCAAAAAAAAAAAAAAAAAAAAAACAAAAAACACAAGAAGAGTGGGTATTAAAAGCCAGAGGGCCTGGGGTTGATCCACAATTTCTTATTTACTGGTTATGTGTCCTTAAGCTATTGGGGTTTTTTTGAGCAGTCTTACTCTCACCCAAGCTGGAGTGCAGTAGCAGTGATCTTGGCCCCCTGCAACCTCCGTCTCCCGGTTCAAGCAATTCTCCTCTTCAGCCCGTCGAGTAGCTGGGACTACAGGTGTGTGCAACCGCACCCAGATAATTTTTTTTTTTTGAGACAGAGTCTTGCTCTGTCACCTAGGCTACAGTGGAGCAGCGCAATCTCCGCTCACTGCAACATCCACCTCCCAGGTTCAAGAGATTCTCCTGCCTCAGCCTCAAGTAGCTGGAACTACAGGTGTGTGCCACCACGCCCAGCTAATTTTTGTATTTTTAGTAGAGTTGGGGGTTTCACCATGCTGGCCAGGCTGGTCTTGAACTTGATCTACCCACCTCAGCCTCCCAAAGTGCTGGGATTACAGGCGTGAGCTACTGCGCCTATCCTGGGTGCCTCCTCTTCTTTCTGCTAACCCAGGCTGAGGCTTGTATCTCACTCAGCTCAGTGGGCATGGCAGGCTTCTTACCCTGTGAGCATGATATTGGGGCCACTGAGAAACTGGAGCTCTGTTTGCAGTGATGTCAGCTCCTTTTTTCTTTTTTGAGCCACAGTTTCACTCTGTTGCCCAGGCTGGAGTGCCATGGGCGATCTCGACTCACTGCAACCTCCACTGCCTGGGTTCAAGTGATCCTCCCACCTCAGCCTGTAGCTGGGATTACAGGCATGCACCACCGTGCCCTGCCAGTTTTGTATTTTA